CTGCAGCTATGCATTTTAAGAGCAGAAGTGACAACCAGCGTATTTTACACAAAACCTGTAACACAAACAGGGTATTCACCTTTATACCATGCCTGAGGATATTTATTTTATAAGTAATATATATGACTATGTGGAATATCTTTGTTTTAAAAAGTTACACAAGATGTTATATAGAATGGGTTTGAGATTCTGACCGCAAACAGATGACATATTTTCCAGTTTAATAGCACAGGTGACGCATTTTCTAATATAATAGTCACTGACAACCAGGGTATTCACCTTTATACCATGCCTGAGGATATTTATTTTATAAGTAATATATATGACTATGTGGAATATCTTTGTTTTAAAAAGTTACACAAGATGTTATATAGAATGGGTTTGAGATTCTGACCGCAAACAGATGACATATTTTCCAGTTTAATAGCACAGGTGACGCATTTTCTAATATAATAGTCAGTGATAGTAATAAATTTATCAGGCTCAGTGAAAATGGATTTATTTTGCCAATATGCTATGGAAGCTATTTGTAGTTTTGCATTGAACTTGCAAAACAATTACTAGTCTTAAAAAAAATGTGAAGATAATATGAGTTTTAGAAATATTAATTGGGACAAAATTATATTTGTCAGAAGAGTAAGGCATTGAGAAATTGCACCACAGGAGTCAGAACATTATTTAGTACAGTTCCAACGCCATTAGAGTAACATAATTTAGAGACACAAAATGCTAACTGTTCTTTTTACGCTGCACTGCAAATTAATGTTTATTTAATTCAAATGTGTAGTTTAGAGGTGTAGGGACAACAAGACTCACAATGTTAATATATAGCAATCATCTACTAGACAATACACCGAGCAGACTGTGTAACTAATGCCTTCCAAAACTCTACTTATTTTTAATGAAATACATTGGTTTTCATCTAATAGTTCCTGAGCATTGCAAAGTTTATTCATATCAATCTGATCACCAGAGCTTTGTCCCACAAATGACCTTTTCCAAGATCTTGTAAGTACAGCTCTTGGGAAATGCTATTTGAGACTATTTGTGTATTTTATAAATAAACATTTCAATCTTCACTGGACATTAGAAAATTGGTGTGAAAATACCTCATTTAGCTAAAAGGAAGATGTATGACCCCACGTTTGCTTTAAATTAGAAATTCCAAGGGAGAACTTACGTAACTCAAAAAGCAGCTGAAATGTATAGAATTTCACTGGCCTGAAAAAAAGAATGAGTCTGCCTTCAAATAAAAGTTTTAGGCTTAAGGGACTTAAGACCAATTAACTGAAGGTGTGAAGTTAATGCACATATGTTAAACTGTATTAAAGTCCCTTGTGGGAAGCTCTTACTCAAAAATAAGTGGTGTTTTTTTCACTGGAACTTAATCTTTGGATGAATTTAGGTGCATTAATTCCCAGCCTTAAGATAATTCATTTGAACTTTCTTTAGCTGCTCCTTTCCATAAGCCTTCAAAAGTCAGGGCCTAAATAATGCTTCTGTCAAAATACACAAGCAAGAGGGATAAACATGTTCAGAGAATTCATGACTCCCTGCCCATGTACTAGGATGGCAGGCAATTATAAAGTGGCCTAAGAACTCCAGAGTTCAAAGGTGGGCTGGTTTCACAGGGAGAGAAGTCCAGATAAAAACCCACATGTAAGTCCTGCTTATCTGAAGAGAACAAATGCAGCATCAGCAAACTGCTGTGCCAGAGGACATGTCCACTGTGCCAGAGGACATGAAGGCAAAATCTGAATTTGTTGCAGATGATCTATTTCCATCTTCCTCCCATTATTTTTACATTCTGGCATTCTGTTTTATAGAAAAATGTGAATACTCAATGTATTTCCTGTTCCTTCCCTAAGGGATATTGGGTCAATTTAAACATGAGAAGGGCAAGGCTCTCCTTCCCCCAGTGACTAAAAAGGTGCCCAAAAAACAGACACCAACCCCTATTCACTCCTGGGGCATGAAGTTAGAATGGATAGTGACAAAATACAGGGACAATATTGCTAACACAAACACAGGAATGATTTATTTCAGTGGTCCCCACTGACTTCAGAGCAACTACCTTGTCAATAAAGACGTGCTAGTGTTTCAGTGCTTGCAGGACTGTATCCTGAATAATGTTTTAGGGCCTGATCTTATTAGGCTAATACCCAGGAGTCTCCATCAAGTTATCTTCTCCTGTAGGTAATCATGTTAAGTTTCTTTTTTTCCCTAATCTACATCAAGGCATTACTGTGATTCCCAGTCTAAACACATACTCCAGAATGTGACAACGGTAATGCATAATACATTAGAAAGATATTTATTAGAGCTTGCTTAGGATTAAATTTGAGATGCTTACTAAAATGTGTGTTAGGAAAGTGTGTATCTTGCCAGTATGACTGGGAGCTTACATCAGAAACACTTCTGCCTTTTATTTTATTTCTAATCTATCTCATTTCGGAATGAACTTGGGGAATTTCAGTGATCAAAGGGATGTGCCTGTAATATTAATAGGCAGGGCAAAACACAATTAGCTACCATTCTTTTCCTATTTATGCTTTCCAACTTCAGACTTCTCCTGAGTAGAAGCTCCTAAATACAAAATCATGTAGTCTTTCTCAGTACATACCTGTTCACAGTACAGAGTTTCAAATAAATCTGACTGTTCATTTGACCTACCTGTTTCTGCAGATAATCTTGTTCTTGTGCTTCTCTTCTCAAAAATCATGGCCAAAGATTTTCCTTGCATCAAAGGCAAATACTGGAAAACAGAAATAGAAGGCAGTTCAGTTTTATAACCATTACATACTTTCCTGTGTGAAATGCTTCTTTCACTTTTTAATCCACCATCAGTATAATGATAAATTTCTTTACCATATTGTGTTTTCTTGTCCTTCAAATAAGTTATTAGCAATGGGGAAGGTTAGATAGAAAGAACTAATTTGGGACAAAAAGCAATTGCACTTGGGGGCTTGATTTGAACTGGCATTAAGGAGAATCCATACACTAATTCTGTCTCCATACAGCACAGGGAACCATCTTTCTGTTCCTACCCCACTCGGTGCTGCATGCACACCACCTGTAGATGAATGGGGTTAGCCAGTAACAATTAGCTGTACAAAGCCAAGGAACCTTTTCATTAGCAAAATCCACTGAAGTATGTGAAGAAAACTCTGAACATTTTGCAGGAAGCTTCTTTGATTTGTGGTACATCATTTACAGTATTTAAGGTGTTAAGTGATGATGTTATGAACAAGCCAGATGAATTCTTGATTCCCAGTCTTTCATAACAGCTGTCATTTTCACCTTCGCAGTGACCTAAACGACAACTAAAGCATTTTACCTCTCCTTTGTGCTTAATTCTTTGTTTCAAATCTGAGGCCATCCATAGCAAATACTTGAGTTCATCTGCTGTGTAATTCTGTAGAGTGAGGAGGTCACGGCCTTTCAGATGAACATTCATTTGTGCTGGTTGCCCACACCTGCATCAGAAGAGCAACAAAAGCATGCTTTTTGTCATTTGGCAAAAAATCCTACTCTTGCAAAAGCCAAAGAGCAAGTAGTCAAAATCTATCTTGCTGCGACCCCCTCATTGGATCCAGATGGATAGACCTGATGGCCTGTGTTATTTAATTTGAATAACTTTTACTGTCACATGGAGACAACTTGCCACAATTTACTCTGATGATCACCACAGTAATAGCTTTTCAAACTGTATCAGAATCTGTGCATCAGATGTAGTTTCTTATGCCCTCTGATATGTGTATGACTTGACTGTCCTCTCTAATCAAATAAACCTAAATGCATAAAGCCATTCAGGGCTTTGTGAAATGACTTACAACTAGACTGTCAGGGCACATGGGGAACTGATCTTGGTGCTCTTTCTTCCCTTTGCACACTCTGGGGATAGATAGGACACTTGCTGCATTCCACCCTCATGCTTATAAAAGATTGCATTTCTATAAATATGTGTGAAATCTCCTGGTTGTACATTATACTGGAGAATGAGGTAATCAAATTTAAAAATAGCAAAATAGCCACACGCTCTGGCCCTTTTCCTGTCACACAGAAGGCAGTCGGAGTGTGAGCAGTGTGTTTACTCGTGTGCGCGCAGTGCAGCCAGCCGGATCTCTGAATGTGAGAAGCTAGTTTTAGAATCAAGTGAAACTGCATGTTGATAATCCCAGAGATTCAGTGAGCTTAGATGACCTGTCTTAATGAAGCAGTGGAGAAGAGCCAGTATTTCCGCAGGCTTAAGTCTGGTGATGGCCAAGTGACAGTTCAGTCCCTTCTCTGTCAGTGTTTCTACAGCCCTTTTTAACCTAACACAGCTTGCAGGGTACTCTTGCTAAAGTTTGCATGGGTGCAAGGCAAACATACCTCTTTGATTAAAGGCGGCAATTTTGAACTAATGTGGTGAGTGAAAATCAAAGAAACACTGGGTGCAACTTTTTTTTATTTCCAAGCATCTCCTCCTCAGCTCATCTTTGAAGTCAGGCTCAGTTATAACACCTGCCAATTGTCAGTTCCATTGCCAGGAAAGCTCAAGAAAAAAAATAATATATATATATAAAAGATAATTTCCATTCATGCTTCAAGTCAGTTATGATGGAACAAAGCCTGGGTGGCAAGTACATAGGCCTGTAGTGGCTTCTAGACATTTTAGCATTTCATTAGTTAAACCTGGGGGAGTAGACTCTTTTTTCCCACTGAATTTTGTTGATTAGGCTCAGACTGAAACTGAATGTAGAAGACTGCAGATCTAAAAGTTATGGTGCACATTAGCACTGTCCGTTTGACATCCCAGCACAATTTGCATGACATTTCAAAACAAGTGGGAGAATCTTTCCTTTACTTGGAAACATTTAAATGTATTTTCCATCTAGACACCTTAAAAGTGCTGTAGCTACACATTTTAGCACCACTGTTATGAAAGCTTTTTCCATAGTGAAAATGATGATGTTTAACTGAAGAAATATGGAGAAGGTTTGAAGAAGCAGCACATGCAACACAGATGCCCTGGAGATTAATACGCTTGGGAGTGAGTACATGTTGTCAATGAGAGAGCAATGAGCTCCAGAGGTTTTATGGAATACCACAGGATTCACCGTTAAGCTAAGCACAGAGCACTACAAAGATTCCCATCAAAGTGCATGATCAGAATCCAGCCTCTGCACACCCTCAAACCGCTGGAGGGCTGGAGCTGTCTGAAGCACTAAGCAGGCAAAGGAATGGATTTCTTGCTGTCAAAGTTCAGAGTAATGTTGTGTATGTATTTTCTTACATGCCATCTCTGAAATTTGATTCCTAATTAAAGTACAGTCTAAATTGTATATATGACTTCAGTAATGAATATTGGTCAGTAACACTTAAAGTAATAATGTACATTTCCAAGCCATAAAGACTGACACCCTCATGACCTTTAATGAGATAATGTTACATATTTTGCTATAATTGTTAAATTTCTGTCTTCAAACAAAAGTAAACAACCTAGAAAAGTTAGAAAGCACCCATATGCCCCATTCCAAAAACCAAAGTGACAATAAAATACAGGCTACGAAAATGATTCCCTGCACTTCTATGCCCACAAAGTGGCATATACCTGGCATTTGAAGAAAGGTTGGTCATTCATATGTGTGAGGCAGCTTCCACTCTAGAATGAAAAATAGCCTACCAAGACAAACCACTGAAATCAAGCCCTGAAAACTAAGGATTACAAGAGATTTGCTCTATTTTTAGTGTTCTGAATTCTGAAGAAAATTAATTTCATAATTGTGTGTTCTCATTTTTCATGCCCAGAACATTGGCTGCTCAGTCCAGTTTTGGGGAACAAAAAATGCTCACCTGTTCTGTTCTTGTCTATGCAATTGCTTGCTGCTTGGTCACTGTGCTGTCCTTTGGTGAACTGTTTCTAGTCTTCAGCTGTTCTTTGAATTTCTAATTACAGCCTATGATTACTTGAAGACAGATGAAAAGATTGTTTACGCTGAATCTCCCAAAGGGAAACTCCTGTTCATGACCTCTTGTTTTACTATTTAGCCTTACTGAGAGGTGTATTGAGAATCATCCATCTCTAACTTCTACTCTGGTATATAAAATAGCACTAAAATCAGTTACCGAGAGATGATTTGGAATCACTATTCCTAGATATTTTCAAGATTTGGTAAGCAAATCCATAGCTGACCTGATCTGCTGCTGTCCTGCTACAACCAGAAAGTTGTACTAGAAATCCTATTCATCATCACTAGAAATCCTATTCATCATCATTCATCATCATTCAACATTTCTGTGTTCCCATGATGATGATTCTGTTTTATTGCTATGACCTACAGAAATGTGTTCCTCTCCCTATTGTCCACATCTTCTGAAACAGAGGCAGAAGTGGTCAAATAAATTCCAGAGAAGGGGCAGGAGATAACATACCAAAGTTAAAATGTAACAGGCAAAAGAGCAAGGTCAAACAGTTGGCTTATTTCCTTCTGAGCAGGGATAGCAACTACTCAGGATCGTTAGCACAGACTGCTAGATCTTGGGTTATCATGTGGTATCAACCTTCATGTGCTTAACTTGTTCACAGACAGTGATACTAGCTTATGCTAGCAATACGATATAAAATATAAAACCAGAACTCTAAAAATAATATCCAATTATTATATGGAGAGTCTAATAAATTAGCAGTTGTTTTCCACAATTGTTTTTTTATCATCTCCACTAATCAGAGAAAGTTCCCACCAATTGTCAGCAGTGAGAACCCAAAATCTATAAAGAAAATATCACCCAGGCTTCAGGACTACTTTAAAATCATAGCAACTGAATCAGATAACTTGGAAAATATTTTTTTCCAGTTGATGTAAATGTACAATTAAGCTTCAAGTCTTTAGTACTAACTTGACTCTTGAGATGTGACGAACATTAGAAATGGCTCACAGAAACATTGTGATAGATACTTTCCTGAAGTCACAGGGAATGCCACTGAAGAAAGAATCCAAAGTCAGGTTTTCAGGTCTAAAAGTTTAGTTTTGAACTTCATATCACATACTGCTCTTCCTAGCTGCATCATGCACATATACAAATAAAGGAATGCTGAAGTTGAGATTCACCTTTCAGCTTCAAGGAGGGCATCTTCTCCCCCATACTTGAGTATTTGTCCAAGCACTTTAGAATTCCCTATCCCTTATTCAGATAGTTATTTATTATTTACAAGTACCTGCTTCAGTGTACACTGAACTCAAGAAGAAAACACCACTTTTTCCCATGTGCTGCTAAACCCCATGGAAAGAATTAACAAGATTTTCACAGACATCAAAAGAAAAATCCTTCGATCTCACAGGGACTCAGAGCTTGCTGCCTCAGAAGGCAAACACCCTAGCAGAAGCCTTTATCTGAAATATTTACCTGTTCACAGAATTCAATTGCTTTCATCTCCAAGTTTCTGATTAAATGTCAGTGATTGCCAGAGAAATCTACGGGATAAGCTTACCAAAAATGTCGCCCCAGATGCCTGCTGCTCTTTGATAAAACTGCAATACTGAAGAAGTTCCTCAAATTAAAAAGCATTTTCCTTTTGTATTAGATTTCTCTTAGTCCTGCAAATAAAGTCAAGAGAAATGAAGTCCTAAGAGGGAGAGAATGAGCTGTGCTGCTGTGCAAGCAAGGTTAGTAGGAAGAACAGACAACCTTATCTTTTGGTTGAAAAATCCTACCTCGGATTTTTCCAGTCCAAGCTGGGCTTGGTGAGGGCTGAAACTGAATCTTTTACTTGGTCAAATTCTATAGATAAAGATTCTTCACAGGGTCCATTGCACAACTCACAGTTTGCATTTCTATGTGGGACCATAATACTTCGTCTGTGTCAGTATCATTTCTTAGCAATTTCATGCTTCTTAAATACTTTACAGGAGCATAGCCAAGCAGAAAAAGGACAAGGGAAGACTGCAGAATGACTAAAATAAAAACAAGCAATGTTGCTGAGGTTTTGGGGTTTTTTTTTTTTTTTTTTTGAATAAGCTTTAAATTGTGCTTTGGTTGCATTAAACCGCAGTGAGGCCCAGTAAATTCAAGTATTAAGACCTACAAAACCATTTGCTTTAAAGTTCTCTTTACATTTAGCTATTTGCAGTTCCTAAATAAAGATATGATTTAAAATTTTTATCTCCAGATATTTCTGTCAAGTAAAACTTTATGTTGCAGGTGCTATAGGTGCTTTTGAAATATGGCCTTGAGTACTTGAAAGTATTTAAAGTACTTATTTAATTCAGGGCAATGGCATGAGGCCAAAAAAAATATATTTTCTCAGAGGCAGTGATGTGTTCATATTCTACGGAGAGGAAGCTAGCTAACTGTCAGATAGCTAACATCAGATAGCTAAACAATAGATTAAAAAATTAAAGATTGGCTGCCCAAGAAGGAGAACCTGCATTGCAGAAGTCCCGCAGGATGGTGGTTGCATTTGTTCAGGCAACCCGAGGGCAAACTGAGGAGCTGAGGGAAAAAAAAAAAAAAAAAAGGAGAGAAGATTGGAAAACACAGCAGCTGCAAGGGGATGTTGCACTGGGTTAAATAAATAAATAACAGAAAAGAGCATAAAGTGAGTGAAAGAGCCTGGCAACCAGGCACACGGGGCAAAGCCCGGGCGTGAATTTCTTTCCCGGCTGCACCTTCCTCCCACATGCAGTTCCTGGCGCTCACTCCCCTCCGCCGAGGATTGCGCCCGAGCAGCGAGGGGTGCCCAGGCGGGCAGGGGGGAGGCGCGGGCGGCGGCAGCCCTCAGCATCCTCCCTCCCGGAACCGAGACTCGCGAGGTCCACCAAGGGCCGCACAGGGGGCTTCAATGGCGGATGCCGCCCGCGGCCCC